ACTGGAGCCATGGGGGAAGACAGCAGTCAATAAAGGGAACTTCAAACCCAGGAGTTCTGACTGCCAGACCAGCTTAATGAGCCTTGGATGCATAGACCAGTCTACCCGAAGCCTTTGGTGATTGAAACGCCAAACTGCAGGGCCCCTGCTGCTATAAAACCTACCTGACCTTTGGGGCCCAAGGTAGGCCCTTGGGAAAGGCCACCCGCTCAGCAGAGAGGGGTGCCTGTGAGGGTGGAGGTGGCACCAGAGGGTCCTGCTCCAGCAGATCTAACTCTCCATCCAAGGCCCGTTCTCCATCACCAGCAGACTCCTCTTCCTCCTCTGTGGCTGGCTCCTCAGTTTTAAAGAGATCCCTTTCATTGTAGATGTCCAGGCTGTCCTGCTTAGTGAGGAGTTGCTGTAGGAGGGCAAACAGGGAGAGGAGGTGTACTGAGATCTCACCCTGGGCATCTATCCTTGTCTGAGGCTACCCCCTACCCACAGGCTTCCACAGGCTTCCGGGACCATAGAGTCAAAAGCCAGCCCTTGTGAGAACATCTCATTCCCTACCTCATCCTATTGGGACCATCAGGCCCAATACCAGGACAAGAAGTTCCTGGGCAACCATGCCAACCAGGGAACAGAGCACAGACAATCCCAAAGTCATAGTTATTTAGCTTTCAGAAAGCACTGATGCCTTTTTTTCCTCTTTTTTTGCCAGCACTTTCCTTCCTAATTATGTTCTGCTTAGGTGAACATTCAATTTGTTTGCCTTCTGTGAGCACACACCAGCTGGCTGACTGAGGAAGAGGAGGACAGAAGCTTGCTGCCAGGCAGAGGGAAGTGAGTTTGGAATTTTAAATCTTGTCACAGAAAGAAAAAAATATTGGACAGAAATAGGCCAAAAAGTTAACAGTGACTGCGTCTGGTTGTTAAGATTGTGGGTGATTTTTCTTTTCTCCCTTCATCACATTTTTATATTTGGTCCAAATTTTCTACAATGAGTAAGCATTACTTTATATATATAAAAAAAAAAAAAGGTTAAAAAAATCTCATTGCAGATAATGTAGACTGGATTACTGAACACAACTATCTGGCCCTGTTGATGAACTAAAGTAGGTCAGGCAGGTGAATTCTGGGGAGCGTGGTCCGGGCTCAGTATAACTTGTAAATTCTGACTTTTCAGGACCACAAACTGCAGTCATGTGCTGCATAATGACGCTTTGGCCAACAATAGACTGCATAAGTGATGGTATGACCATGAGATTTTAATACTGTATTTTTTCTGTACCTTTTCTAGAGTTAGATACACAAATACCCTTGGGTTACAGTTGCGCACAGTATTTAGTACAGTTTCCTACTGCAGGTTTGCAGTCTAGAAGCAACAGGCTATATGCCTAGGTGTGCAGCAGGCGATAAACCATCTGGTCTGTCTAGGTACATTCTGTGATGTTCACACAGTAATGAAATCATATAATGACACAAATCTCAGAATATATTCCTATCATTAAGTGACACATGACTGTACACCCAGAATCCTAACCAGGCATCTCTCAAATGTTAAGACTTTGGTTCCAGGGCCAGACAAGAGTGTGGCTGGCTCAGGGTAATCCATGTGGCTGGCTCATTCTTGCTGCCACAAAAATGGCAAAGGGCCTTGCCCCAGACACATGGATTTTCAGGTGCCCTGGGTTCCTATCCCCAGGGTTATACCCTAACTATTGTTTAGAATGCTAAGGAACCCCAGGCACTGAGGTCTATGCCAATGACCTTGGAGCAAGACATGGCTATATGGTCTGATATCATCAGCATAGCTTGGGGCCTGACAAGGCTGGAGACACAGGCCAAAGTACAGACTCTAAGGTTTCAGGTTGTTCACAGGGCCAACCTGGGGCATGTCATTTACTACCCTTTGCTACTAAACCCAGAATAGCTTAAAATCATGATTTTTGGCTAGTCAACGTCACACCCCAATGTCTACTTTAGATCATACCCTTCGAGAACCACGGCGGCCTCGCAGCTTGGAGGGTGGTGGTGCCAGCTGAGACTCCCCCAGGTCGAGAGTGTAAGAGGGCGGGGAGGCGGCACGCATGCTCTTCACCACCTGGATACTGTCTTCAGCCAGGGGAGGCAGGCCCAGTTCTGCCCGCTTCTGTATTTTGAGAGCCTGCAAATGCTCAAATCCACCAAGGGTAAACTAAAGAAGAAATAGGAAAGGGGTAGAGAAGAGAGGAAGGAAAGAAAGTCAGAGAGAGCAAAGTCAAGGAAACATGGATGAAAGAAAGAGGTACCACCTCCAGTCCCCTCAGACCTTCTCCTTAATAAATAAATCATAAATGTAGCTACCAGCCCCAGTATAAGGAACTCAGGGGTAAAATAAAGCATTGTTTACTGACCCAGGCTGGGAAACATCACCAGAAGTTAGGGAAGGGATTCCTGAGGGCCTCTGCTGAAAAAATAGGAAATTATCCCCCTTTTAAAGCAGCACATCCAGATGCTATAAATCCCAGAGTCACTCATTTGCCTCTGCAGTCAAGAGGCAGCTCCCCCTATCAAGTGTGCCTGGAGGGTATGGTGTTCAGCCAGCTCTGTGGGATGGGAACCAGAGATGAAGGATCAGATTGAATAATTAGTATCAAAACTATGACCACATACTTAAAAGGACTTCATTTTTTTTTTTTTTGGAGACAGAGCCTCAAGCCATGGCCTTGGGTAGAGTGCCGTGGTATCACAGCACACAGCAACCTCCAACTCCTGGGCTCAAGCAATTCTCTTGGCTCAGCCTCCCAAGTAGCTGGGACTACAGGTACCCGCCACAACACTCAGCTATTGTTTGGTTGTAGTTGTTATTGTTGTTTGGCAGGCCCGGGCTGGATTCAAACCCGCCAGCTCTGGTATATGTAGCTGGCGCCTTAGCTGCTTGAGCTATAGGCGCCCAGCCGACTTCTTTTTTCTTTTTTTAAAAAAAGCAAATCTTCTATTTATCTGGAAGAAGGCCAGACACTAACCTCAACATTTTATAGCTAGAGAAGCTGAGGCATAGAGAGTTGCCCAAAGTTTCTCAGAATCAGCAGAGCCCAGATCTCCCAACTTCCAACCAATTTTCTTTCAACTAAACACTGGCTCTATCAGTGGAATGTGCCACTGGCACCCCAACCCATTATCTCCCATCCATTCACTAGAAAGGGGAAACCTGCCCTGACACAGGACACTTGACAGACCTTTTTCCCTCCTTAACTGTTGCCTAATGGCTGTCCTATTCTGAGGGCCAGTGCCAGCCTCCTGGAATCAGACTAGGAGAAACCAAGATGGCACAGGGTACAGCTGCTACGATGAGATGGGAGTGGGGAGGACCCACCACTCACCATGACCACCTTCCAGAGCAGGAGCAGGACCTTCTTTATGGGGAAGTGGGGAGCCAGGCCACTGCAGAACTTGGTAACCATGGAGAAGAGCAGAAGGGCAAAGGGCTCTTCATTATGAATGGAGAAGCCTGGGGGTATGAAGAAAGTGAGAATGAGGCAGCCAAACCCTGCCCTTGTAACCCTGATTCTGAGCACACCTGAGGCAGGCACTCATCTCCCCTGAAGAATTTCAGAGTACTTGGTCCTGACCAAGAGGCTTAGAGAGCCCCAGAGGGAAGCCACTTAAAGGTCGGGAGGGAGGGAGGCCATGGAGGCCAAATGGCTTAGAAGTAACAGCAATGAAGATGTTGCTTTCTGACTAAAGGACCCAATGCATTTACTTTCCCACCTCAATAATAGACAGGGTTTCCCAAAAGCTACCCCTAAAGTCACCATACGTGGGGAAAATGGGAAATTTTTAGCTACATACACCTTTATTTACAAAATATCCATTACAAAATATTCTGTATGTGTTGGCCACCTCTTTGTAAAATTTCATAATGAGTATTTTGTAAATAAAGGTACATTTAGCTACAATTTCCCATTTTCCCTATGTAAGGCAATGTTAGGGGAAGCTTTTAGGATACCCTGTGTTTTTAAAATTCCATAGGGCTTCATATCCTATCCCTGTCAGATGACAACACTAGCTTATATTTGGACAGAACTCAATTTTCAAGGTGATTTGATTCATTTTTTTCATGTGGGATTTGTAATGGAATGGGAGAGAGGTGGCTATCACCATTTATAACCAAAGAAAACCATGCTGATTCTGTCCTACATTGTTGGTCCTGGCTCATAGATACAGGGACAGCAATTGAGCCTGACCCTCACGTTTGCCATGTGCTTTCTCTGTCCTATCTCTGTCCTAAAAGAATGTTATTTATATTTATTTATTTTTTTGAGACAGAGTCTCACTTTGTTACTCTCAATAGAGTGCCATGGCATCATAGTTCATAGCAACTGCAAACTCCTGGGCTCCAGTGATTCTCTTGCCTCAGCCTCCCAAGTAGCTGGGACTATAGGTGC